ACAGTTATCGCCGTGCGATCGTCCGACGACTCCCGGCTTCGTCAAGACTGTTCATAGTTCTAGCCGGGTAAAATTTGTCCGCGTTCACAGTTCAAGTGAAAATTCGTACGGCGAACAACTTGTTCACCCAGTAAATAGTGAGTGAAGATTTGTCGCGGCTGCGCAATGTGTGTAAACTTTCAAAAGGTTCAAATGTCCAACAACAAAACAACATAAACTAACAAATAACTATTATTGACTTGGTCTAAACAGTTGAAACTGTTTTGTAAACTAACTATTTCAAAAAATGGAAAATATCTCGACCCACTCCCAATACTTTGTCGTGGATGCGGATAATCAGTCCCATTCCATCTGACAATGGAATAGTTATTTTCCTAACAAGTGCGCAAAGTGTTACTTTTCCGCACGCAAACACAGTTATACGAACGACGCGAAGCGGAGTTCGGATACGTGTTTGCGTGCGGAAAAGACACTTTGCGCACGTGTTAGGAACAAAATTTTTCCTACGAGCTTCATATCAGGTAGGTAATAACAAAAATTTAAAAAAAAAAAACGATAATTTGTTCAATTATTTTTAATTAACTTGGAGCGAACCTACGCATTTATCAAACAATTACGTAACAAAAAAATAATAATAAAAAATCCTCGTCAGAGCTGTTCATCTTAAAGCGTTTAAATTTGATGAGAAAGTTTGTAGATTCTTGCATATAAATAGAGAACAAATCTGACAATGTGTCAAAGTTAATTATATTCGGTGTTCGTATAGATGTAGGCTGCTAAAGAAACAGAGAAAAACTTGTCATCATGTGTCAAAGTCGACAGGTACACTTATTGTTGCTTGACAATTATTTTTACTTTTCGGCACTCAGTGCGGATAAGGCCTGTATCCGCACTGAGTGCGGAAAAGTGTAACTTTGAGTACCGAAATGCGTGCGGAAAAGTACTACTTTGCGCACGCTCGTAGGAAAAAATTATATTGCTATTGCTCAGCGATTCATTAATTGTCATTCAAGAAAAAAGCAATAGGTACCCAGATCCATTTTTTTTTTTACATAAAAACAATTTTAAATTATTAACTTATTATGGAGAACGAGGAACTATTTCCAGAAAGATAGGTTTGGAAGAGGTTAAAGACAAACATGAAGGCGGGGCTTGCTTTTAATGGGTTGACAACTGTGAACGACGATCAATTAGCGTGCGTCGCCTATTAAACTAACCGAGGTGAAACGTAAAATTTTGGGTTGATAACTGTGAACGCACCCCTGTGTTGTTTATTCTGTATGTCAATTACTGTATTCCTTTTATACATCGAGTTACACCAAACGAGCTCCTCGGAGTCACTCCAAAACACACAATAGGGTACTTGCATGGAAAATCAAATTGATTATTGTTTATTGCAAACTGTAGGAAATCGAAAAAAAATCGTTACTTTTTTTTTATTCCTTCCAAATATGATTATTTCGAAAGTTATACAAATATTAAGTTTTTTATATATAGATATACTGAGCATGTGCGACGTCACAACTCACAATGTATTATACCTAAGTTATGACGTCGGAAGGACATTTCAAAGCGTTGTATCTCCGTCAGTTTTTGACTAACAAGAAAAAGAAAAAACACGTGTTGACTTATTTTTCATGGACTATCGAAATCGGCAATAAAAAAATTTGATGCAAGGGGCCTATTCAGATTTTATCATTATTTTTATAAAGGTTACCGTCATTACCTGGCTTCTTGCACCCACCGCAAATTTGGTGCATCAGGGGAAAGGGGGATGCACTATGAGTGACTCGAGTGCTTAACGCACTTTTAAAACGAACGTTCAAGCTTTTGACATTGAGCAGCTCCGAGTAACTCAACGGGTGAAAGGAATACACCAGTAATTGTCAAACGTCAAGGTTTGAATTATCGGATTTTGTGTTTTTTTGTGTGTTTAGGTATTGTGTTAATTAAAAATGCCAGCGATTTGCATCGTAATTGGGTGTGGAAGTTGAGGTAACACGGATAATGTGAAATTTTATTCAGTTCCTGCTATTTTAAATCATCGGCTTTTGATCTACAAAAGTGAATTATCAAAACAACGCAAGGCTTTATGGATTGCTGCAATTAAAAGAAAGGATCTAACAGAGGCTCGATTTCCCTTAATAATAATACCTTAAGATATTCACTCTCCATCTCAGAATTTATTATTAAATTAAAAAAAACGTAGAAACATTATAAACACTATAAAATTCACTTTGTAAACAAGGGCCAGAACACTAAAAAATACGTAGACACTATAAAATTCACTATGAAAACAACAATATGACCAAAACCAATGAAAAATATGTAGAAACACATAAAATTCACTTCGAAAGCAACAAGGGCCAGAACACAAATCTAACACAAATGCTCTCCTTATGAACGTCACCGGTTTGTCACCGCAATATTTGACCCGAACGGCCATTATAAAATTACGTGATTGTTACTTAAAAGAAGGGAGACTCAAATATAATTTCGTTCCACCATGGTTTTTGTCAGTTTTAGGGCGGGTATTATAAAACTGCTTTAACAGTTAACTTGAAGAGTTAACTTTTTGAATTACATTTAATTCCAGAAGTTAACTTTAAGTTAACTCTTAAAGTAGTTTTATAAGACCCGCCCTTAGGGCGGGTATTGTTGAAAATTATTGTTGAAAATCGGTAAAAATTCATCGGTATTCGGTATTTCGGTAGGTCCGTTGCCATTTCGGTAGAAATACCGAAATTTCGGTAGCTTCGACAACACTGGTACCTAGTCACTCCCAAAACTAGAAGAACAACAAAAGTTAGGTTAAAGCTCGTCTCTTCCCCTCTCTTATGACCTACCAAACGAATTCGGAACAAAATGGTGTCCTACGTCATTTCTATGACGTTGCATGTACCAATTGGTTAACCAAATTGTATACCAATCGAAGCTTGCCGAAATCGTCTCAAATGAGAAGAACCCGAAGAACCGTGCTGCTGATCACGGTATCCTATTTGACAGACTTAGGGCGGGTATTATAAAACTGCTTTGACAGTTAACTTGAAGTTAACTTTTTGAATTACATGTAATTCCAGAAGTTAACTTTAAGTTAACTCTCAAAGAAGCTTTATAATACCCGCCCTAAGGGCGGGTATTACAGAACTGCTTTAGGGCGGGTATTATAAAACTACTTTGAGAGTTAACTTAAAGTTAACTTCTTGAATTACATATAATTCAAAAAGTTAACTTCAAATTAAATGTCGAAGCAGCTTTATAATACCCACCCTAAGGGCGGGTATTATAAAAAAGCAGTTTTATAATACCCGCCCTTAGGGTGGGTATTATAAAGCTGCTTCGACATTTAACTTGAAGTTAACTTTTTGAATTATATGTAATTTAAGAAGTTAACTTTAAGTTAACTCTCAAAGTAGTTTTATAATACCCGCCCTAAAGTACGGTTTGTTAGGAGAGTTCGTGTCGCACAACTGACAACGTAAACGTCGTCATTGGTTCAGGGTGGGGATTCTCATCTTCTAGTCGCAACCTATCGTCCCGACTCACCTGTAGAAAGGCAATGGGATAGTCGGGACGATAGGTTGCGAGTAGAGGATGAGAATCCTCCACCAGGTATGATCATAGGTATGACATACACCCACAGATTAACCCGTCCGGACGGGTTAACCTGTGCATACACCCATTTTCTCACGTCAGAAGGCGGGTGTACGTCATACCTGAACCAATGACGACGTTTACGTTGTCAGTTGTGCGACGCGTACTCTCCTAACAAACCGTACCTTAAAAAGGATGCCAAAGTCACTGTGACGACATCATTTTCGTATCCGAAATTGGTTGGTATGCATTTGACAGACCAAACAGGGTACCAAACCATGTACCAAAGCTTGCCGAAATCGCCTTATAAACAATCAAATCCAAATTAGAGGTGGAGAACTATCGATAGTTGGCACCATCGATAGTAATCGATAGTCAAGGCTCATACCATCGATATTTATCGATAGTATTCGATAGTTTTACAAAATCAGATTATTTCAATATTATACTTATTAAATGTGCGTGGACGCAAAAAAATTAAAATATATGATATTCCTATTCATTAACTACTGAAGTAAAGATGAAAAATAGAAACATTAAGGGCCAGTTTCTCAATAGTTGTATTCCTTTCAAAAGTTTGAAACACTCGAGCTACTCGCTCCGGTGTTGAGTAGCCCCCGATTTGCAGGGAACAAATGCGGGGTGCAACAAACACCTTTCGAAAGGAATAAGCGCGTGAAGCCCCGGAGCTCCTCCTAGGTGTGAAAGGAATACAACTTATAGCAAGTCACCCCCGGGCACCGGGTTAAGCATAACTCCAGGGTAAAAATTGCGACTGGACACATGTTTACCCAGGAGTTTAAAACCAACTCGGGAGTTACAATTTTGATCAAAATAAATGAAACGGTGCAGTGCGCACTACCTTTGTGACGCACTCGCACTGTAGATTGTAGATTTGCGGGGGAGTTGTTTCGGCTTTTCAGCCGCTCAGCACTGCTACCTTTGCAGATATTTTGTACATGACTCTACATCTCAAATTGTCTCCAGGAAGCGTAGACTTCTGTCGAAGGAAGCTATTTTCCTGGGACGCACTCGCATTACTCGAATACGAGACTAAAAGCGTTTTCTATTAGCAGAACCAGTGCATAAAATTATTGTTTTATTTTTTCTGTCCTTTCCTTTTACATGCTGGCTGAAACAAACACAAACAAATACACTCATTACGCACTGAGAGCCATTGGATTTACTAATAGAATTCGCTAAAAGCTGCTATCGAAAACTATCGATAGTCGGTAGGAATAATCGATCGCGCTTCGATAGTGGATACTATCGATAGTGTTCGATAGTACAATCGATAGTTCTCCACCACTAATCCAAATATTTTTAAGGAATTTTAAGGTTAAGGAAGTTTTAAATTTCTCTGTTTATTTGTTGAAATAAAGTAAAAGTAAAAATGCAAATTTTAGAATTATATAGTGGAATTGGTGGTATGCATATGGCCCTTCAAGGTACCGGAAAATCAAAAATTCGCATTCATATTCCTCATTCAAAATCCTTTTTTTTAGAAAGTGGAGTACCAGGAACAGTGAAAGCTGCAATCGAAATAAACCCAACTGCAAACTCAATTTACAAACACAATTTCCCCGAAACCAAATTGTTGAATTTAAATATTCAAGGGCTCACAGCTGATCTGGTGAACAAATTAAACGTGGACACTATTCTTATGTCTCCGCCTTGTCAGCCCTTTACTCGTAATGGTAAACAGCAGGACTTGAAAGATGCTAGGACCGATTCTTTCCAGCACATTTTAACTTTGCTGCCACATTTGAGCCTTAAACAGATATTAATTGAAAATGTTAAGGGCTTTGAAGGGTCGAAAATGCGGGATTTGCTCGTGCAAACTTTAAAGGACAACTCGTTTTGCTATCAGGAATTTGTATTGAGCCCTTCACAGTTTGGTGTACCTAATAGTAGAAGTAGGTATTATTGTATAGCTAAAAAAGGTAAATTTAATTTTGACACTCAAAAACTCTTGGAAAGATTGCCAGGATTTGAAAGTGATTTGGAAAGCTTTGAAATTCAAGATATTATTGAAGATGATGTGAATTTTGCCGATTATTCCCTCAATGAAAAAATATTAAGCAAAAGATTAGGGGTTTTGGATATTTGTTATAAAACCTCTAAAAGATCTTGTTGTTTTACCAAAGCGTATGGAAGATTTATTGGTAAGTTCACCTAAAAAGGAATCATGTATTTACTATTGAACCTATTCTTACTTCTTAGAGGGTACAGGAAGTGTCTATACTGAGAATAATGAAGAGGAAGTTCTGGAAAATATTAAGAAATTACACCAAATGCAATCGGACAGTGAAAAATATTTGGAACTCGCTGAATCCTTAAATCTACGGTTTTTTACTGCCAAAGAAATATCACGACTAATGTGTTTTCCTGAAACGTTTGCTTTTCCAGATAATTTAACTAACAGGCAAAAATACATGGTTTTAGGCAACAGTATTAATGTTAAAGTTGTTTCAGAGCTAATAAAATTATTCAATTAAAAATCACAAACATTGTTATTTTTGTTAAATTTTTATTTTGTTTGTAAACACAAATCAGGAGCCTTGGTTTTGCTACTTATTTTACATTCTGCCCCTAAATACTACATTTGCTCAATCAACTATCACAACTGAAAACAACCATAAATATCAATTAGAAAAAATCAAGGAAAAAATACAAAAGAGATTTTTAAGATTTATTGCTTACAAGTTAACTAAGTCTAAAGTATGATTCCATTGTAATTATGATGAACTTCAAACTCTTTTAAATATACAGAAATTATAATAATGTTTATTAACGGTTTCTCATGTTAAAGTTACAAAGTACAATATAAGAAAAAATACCCAACAATAACACTGTCAAGAGTCAAGGCACTGACCAGTCTAGTCTCCTAAGTGCTTGTCTGAAAAATCCTATATTGGTGCTATAAAAATCAGAAGTCTATAAAGTCTGGTTATGGGACTGCATACTGTAATTTGTTCGATGGAACTGAACAAAAAGATACTCATGATCCCACATCGCTTTTTGTGGCACATTTAGTGAAATCAGACTTACAATGAACTACAATGTACAATGTACACATGTCCAACTGACCATGCCTGGCTTTTAGAGTTTGTGAGTTTAGTTTAGTAAATTTTCAATATCACTATAATTAGTCTGATCAACAGGATTGTCCAGCTTAAAACCAATAAGTCGAAGAAATCTTCTTTCCACTTTTTCAAATAACTAAATATATACATTGTAGTAAGGAGACCATACAGGACTTGCATATTCAACCACTGGCCTCACATAACAATAAAGTAACTTCAAACAATTATTGTCATTAAAATCTCTTATACTTCTGGTAAAAAATCCTAATAGTTTTAAAGCTCTATTTTTAATAAAATTTATAGGGAAGCGAAGTCCACTATCAATATAAAAACCCAAATCTTTGATCTGGTCCATTCTTTCTAAAATTACATCACTAATCTTCAAATACAATATAATTATTCCTCCTAGATATAGTTAAAATCTTACACTTTCTTACATTTAACTCCATACAGTTGTCTACTCCATACAGATGATGAATTTAGATCTTTTTGCAGTCTCAAGCAGTCATCAGGAGATTCAATAATTTTAAACAATTTTAGGTCATCATCAGCATAAAGTAAACATTCATAAAATTCAACTCGATTAACCACGTCATTCACAAATATATTAAATAGCAATGGAGCTAAATGAGCTCCCTGAGGGACACCCGACGTAACAGCTATTTCATCGGAATAAAACTGTTTTATTTTCACAACTTGTCTTCTGTCTGTTGAGTAATCTTCATGTCAGTGCAATAACGGGCCATAAACACCACGTGCTAAAAGTGATTTTATTTTGTTCAAAGGGATGGAACACTATCTCCGCCTTCGGCGTCGTGTCCCAAACTTATATTTCTATCACCATTTTTATGTACAGGAGTTATATAGGACAACTTTCAAAAATCAGGGAATACACTACTGGTCAAAAGCAGCCTAAGCAGTTTCACTAAAACATTTGACAAAACATATTGACTGGTAGATCATCCTTAAGTTGGCAGAACCCCTTGCTGGCACCTATTAATGTGGTCTGTAAACCTTAAATTCTGATTAATAATAAGGCCTAAGTTTCTAATAGATTTGTGCTCAACGTTAGGCTCAGAACCCAGTTTAATACACCCCCACATGTAGCCAGAAATTCCTCTCTGTGATTTTTTGGTCCAAAGACAATCATGCCTGACCTTTGAGTATTTAATTGAAGACTGTACCGTGTTTTTTAGAAAGATCCAGAACATTATTTAAATCGTAGTTAATAGCTGCTACAGCTTGATCGGATTCAGTTATAGAAAAAACAAGTATAACTGTATGTCATCACAGTAAAAATGATGAAAGCAGGAAAGAAACACAGAAGGAAAGCTAAAGACGTACAAAAGAAACACAGAAGGAAAGCTAAAGACGTACATAGAATACATCAGAAGACCTAAAATTGTTTCTTGAGGAACGCCTGTTGCTACCTGCAAAAATGAAGATGATTGTTATCATAAAAAACCGCTTGATTTCTACCCAGTAAAAACTGGTCAATTTGTTTGCACTCCTGGACAATCCCAAGTAATGCATAATGGAGCTCAAAAGCTGATGATTCAATGTGTCAAAAGCCCTTGAGGAATCAAGAACTACAAGGACTGTTAGTTAGCCTTTATCAATTGCTCTATTATATCATTTGTTATTTTGGTAAGTGCTATTGCACAACTATAATTGGGCCGAAATCCTGATTGGTGCACAGGTAAAAGATTATATTTTTCAATAGGTGTCTGCAGTTGAGCTTTGACGATTTTTTCTAGGATCTTGGACATTGTCGGTGGAACAGTAGAACGCTAGTGGGTCTGAGATTATTGAAAGATTCAGAATTTTTTTATTTTTGAAAGTGGGGTGACTTTGGCTTTTTTCTAGGAAGATGGAAAAACGGATTCTCTTAAGCAATAGTTTATAATGATTTGCATTATATAGGGTGAAAGGAACGGTAAGCAGAGGTTTAAAGTTAAAATATTTATTCCGTCCAATTCTGTTGCTTTTGACTTAATTTTTTTTAAATAATATTTAAGACCTCAGGTTCTGTTACTGGACTAAAACAAACTGTTATCGTGTTACGTAACTGGAGACGCCACATGGATAAGCAACTGCTTCGCAACAACCAACAACTAAATTTTGTTGAACATTTTTGTCTTTCTGGTGTGGACAGTTTGTCTCAATTTTGTCTTGTCCCAATACCCAAATTTTTGTCGCAGTTTTCCCGTGTTTACTTTTTGTCTGCTTGATCTGGACCCGGCATTAGCGAAGCTATTTGGTTTATCTGAGATTTTTTTATTTTAAGTATTTATGCATCAAATGGGAGATCAGCCCCTTTTCTTTGTTACTTTAGTTTTTTTTGGGTTTTGATTTTTTTCTCAGATTTTTGATCAGTTAAGACTTTAATTTTTTTGTTTTTGTTTTCTAACTTCTTTTGCATTTTAATTAAATTTGAATTAAGTTTCCTATTTTTTTCCAGTAGTTCTTTATATGGTTGTTCATATGTTGAAGCGAGCGAGGAACTTTGAGAACTGTTTACATCCTCATTTTCTAACAAATTTTCATCCTCCTGATTAACTGCTGATTGACTTTTTTCTGGTTCCATTTTTAAGATTTTTCGCGATGGTACAACATCTTCTTTTAATTCTTTTTTTAATGGCAACCCTAAAACAAAAATATGTAGTTGAATACCTAAATCACTCGCTAAATCATTTACACTGTGAATAGACTTAATTCGAGCGGTGTTTCACTCATGCAGTAGGTGTACAAATTTCATACATATGCAGTGCATAGATTATTCTACACTCCATACATTATCATGCAGACAATGAAATGAATGGACTCATGCAGTCATAATACAGTCGCTTGCAATCGTAATAAATTCAGTGCAGTCACATGCAGTAATGTACATTCCATATACACTCGCGAAAAATCGTGAGCAGTCGCTGCGAGTGGAGCCTGCAATCTTGTTAGATACTGCTCAAAAGTCAATGCAGTGAACTATCATCTTTGATTCAATCAATGCAGTCAAATACAGAGTGTACAAAATCTAGTGGGTGAAACACCCCTCGACTTAATTTCAAAATTGATCTAAACAAGCACAAATAGAGCAAATTCATTCTAAAAATTTCACCGCTCAGCGAAGATCAATCCTGATTCCTGATTAAATTGAAATTTTATACGTACCAAGTAACTCATTTCTCAAATCGCGTTTAAAATCTTCTTTAAGGAAATGTTCTGAACAAATTCTGCTATTGGCACTATTGAATTTGTCGCCTCTACTGCACAAGAGTACCCATTTGTTCCTCATTATAATAGATTTCGGAAACCTATGAAATGTTACACCTGGCAAGTGATTTTTATAACTATTATTGCATGTATACACAGCACACATATTCCCAGACATTATTTTTTGTTATGTCGACTTCTACAAAGGTAAATATATCAAATTCCTTCTGAAAAACTGGTTTGATTAAAATTTAAAAAAAAAAATCGGGTTTACACTTTTTCGTGTTGTTTATTATTAATATTATTATTTATTATTATTGTCACTTTTTAATATGACAGATGACAGGATCCGTTCCATCTAAAGCCGCGTCCACATTAGTAAAAATTTACGTTGTGCGTGTCATTCGGCACAAATTTCTGTGTGCGATACAAATTTATGCGAGTGTGGACCTGTTCGCGGCATCTGGGTCCTTATTCTTGAAACTGGGTAGTAGCGTTCCTGAGAGAACGAGTGTTCTGTCTTTCTGAATGATATGCAAATGATAATATAGGTAACAAAGACAGAAAACTCGTTCTACTGGGAACGCTGCTCCCCTGTTTCAAGAATAAGGACCCTGGGATCACGACAAGTAGAATTCTACTTTTAAGACGTCCAGGTTGCCTAACAACGCGATAAATAAATCGCGGGTGACGTCATGAAAGAAAGACATCAAAGGGATTTGCAGCGCAACATCGTTCTAGTGTGGACGCATTTTTTCGCGTATGAAACAAATAGGCGGTTACACATGGACGTGGATGTCTGAAAACATGTACGTACATACATGAACGCGCAAACAAAAACATCAATGTGTATGCAAAATACCGTCGCGTTTTTGAATGTCGAATCGCTAGAAATTTTGTATGCACACTCGGATTACTGTAGCAAGAATAGCAAGACTGCAGTTTTGTGCGAGCGTCTGTACAAACGCGACATGCACGTTGTTGTTTGCACGTTGATGTATGCACGTATTTGTATCAAGACATCCACGTCCGTGTGTAACCGCCTAATGTGTATGCAAAATACCGTCGCGTGTTTGAATGTAAAATTTTGTATGCACACTCGGAACACTGTAGCAAAAATAGCAAGACTGCAGTTTTGTGCGAGCGTCTGTACAAAAGCGCCATGCACGTTTTTGTTTGCACGTTCATGTATGTACGTGCGTACATGTTTTCAGACATCCACGTCCGTGTGTAACCGCCTTATAACCAACAGGGAAATGTTCAAGATGAAAGAAAGAAGATTTTTACATTTTGCTGTTCTGATACAAAATATTATTTAGAACTCAGAATATCTCTCCGGCGAGGCTTGGTGACATTCATACCAGGTCAATAGGGAACAGATACTTTCGACAAGCCATTACATCGTACTGAATTGAATTTTTTCAATCTTCTTTCTCTTACTTGGGCCTACATGTGTGCATGATACCAAAAGGAAATACAAAAAGTAGGACCTATAAGCAAGAATTAACGAGCAAATTAATAAAATACAGAAAGTTTGAAACATAAAAAAACTAATAATATTATATCTATACTATCTAATAAAAGCATTACTTTTAAACATTACATGAATGCAAATCTGTCCAGGTTAAGTAACACCTGATAAAGAAACTCTCCGTTGCGATATCGGGTGTTACATTCAAATTTGCGAACGTGAGCTAAATGGGTGTTACTTAGCTCCATGCGGGGCCCGGCTCGCCATCTCGACAGAAAAGTTTTATGGTTGAAACTATTTTTTTTTTCAACTCACTTTCGCATATACCCACAGTGTTTCAGAAAAGCTGATCATGGTCTAACTCCCTTTATTCGAATGGAATACCCTATATATTATTGAATATTCGGATTCTATGTAAAATTCTGAGCAGATTTCATGTGATATACCCTAATCTGTTTTGAGTGTTTTGGAAATATTGACATCAGTTGAAAATTAACTTTTTTTCTATGAGTATTGAATATATGCGTAATATACATCCATTTTCTATTGATCAATGTGGATGATTACCTACTCATACAGTGAGTTTTTTTTTCATTACTTAATTGTTTTCAACCAATGAAAATATCCTGGTCTCAGTACCTACTCCACTATTTAAGAGCCAATCAGAAAATTCGACAAGTGGACATCATACTTTAACCTTCCAATCGGTCATTTTGAAAGCTGATTTGGACAAGACTTGTGCTAACCTAACCTCACTTTGTCCTCCAGCTGTCAGAATTGTCAATTAATTTTGTTACGAAAATTAAAAAAAAAAAATCACATAACTCGTGCCTATTTTCTATTAATCATAGAAAAAGTATAGTATTCAACTCGTAGGTAATGGCTATTACTCACGAAGGATGAAGTTTGCACTACGAGCCGCAGGCGAGTAGTGTATTCATAGCCCCATAGTGTATTCATAGCCCGCTCGTTGAATAATATACTATTTTTACAACTTTGACAGGCGGTAAAACCTAGACATTTAATTTAAAAGCAAAACCGTAAACCCTTACATTCATAAACGATCATTTAATGCCCGATTGCACCGTCTCTCTTAACTGAGGCTTAACGATAACTATCCCTTAAATTGACAGTTTTGCATGGGAAAATGTCACTTTAAGGAATAGTTATCTTTAAGCCTCGGTTAAGAAAGACGGTTCAATCGGGCATAACATCAACTTTAAATTTAACCGGAGATTAAATTTAATTAGAATTTTGAATCATGTAGGGCCGATAATTTTGATCTTGATAATGAATTTGGTACACGTCATTGAATTTAACAAGCTTTTGCATGGGACAAGGTCTGTAATCTATATGATGTGGTAAGAGCACATTCAAACCCCTGATTATTTTTAACGTCTGTCAAATTCGAAAACTGAGAACAAAAGTACCGGCACGTAATGTATCTGTCTCAATATGGTCTCAATCAAGCGACAAGCGTACTCCGGTCGCTGCTGATACGCGGTTCATACTTCCCTTACGGGCCTTACGGCCCTCACGCGATCGGAATTTTTGTGAAACAAAGACGTTTCACTTCAAAAATACCTAAAAAAATTATATCCGAGGCATGTTTTTTTAATGACTTTTGGGTAAAAATTTGGGCATTCGTGACACTCAAAAAAGTTTGAGCCCCCCTTTAAGGGGGCCCATTGGAATAGCTGTACTGGGGCCCGCGAGTGCTTAGCACGGCCCTGTTATTGAAACATTAAAAAAAATAATATTAAAAACTATTCCCTTCCTCATACAACTTTTAGACACAAAGCGCATGAGTCGGGGTATAAAGACGAAAGGCTACACAAAAAAAAAACGCGTATCTGTAGTGACGTTACAAGGGCATCGGCGCTTAACAATAATAGGCAATCTTCTTTGTTTATAATCTTTGGTTTGTGTCAATCGTTCGTCGGCTGTCATTGTCATTGGCTGTCTTTCTCCGTCTCTCCACGTTATATCTTTCTTCTCTCTCGTCTGTCGTGTGCCGAAATTTACCAAAACGTGTCGTTACGTGTAACGTGACGCGTCTTTCAAATCGCTTTATTCACTTCAAAAAAATCATGTGTAGCATTATACACGTATTGAGAAGTGAAACTTTTTAAAAACTATACCCTCCCTCATACAGCTTTTAGACTTAGCACATGAGTCGGGGTAAATACGAAGAGCCACACAAAAGGGAGACGCGCATCTATAGTGACGTCACAAGGGTATAACTGCTTGACAATAATAGGCAATCCTCTCTACTTATAATCCTTGGTTTGTGTCAATCGTTGCTCATCTGTCATTGTCATTGGCTCGCTTTCACCTTTTCTCTACAGTCTATGTTATATTTTCCTTTTCTCTCGTCTCTCGTGTAACGAAATTTTCCAAAACGTGACGTTACGTGATGCGTCTTTCAAGAAGTTACTCTCCATATTCTCGTCTACATATCAGACCGCCGCCTAAGATATGTTTTGATATTTTGAAAATTCCGAATGATTCCAAAGATATCCATGAAAAACCAAATTTTGCCGAAATCGTTTTTATTTTTTTCTGACTTTATTTGAAATGCGATATCACAAAATAAACTTCACATTCTCATTGCCACTTTTTCTCCACTGCATGATAATGTTATTAGATTTTTGATCAGACGTTTCGTTTCTCTGCGATCATCATCAATTTTGTTTTTTCAAATGGTCGAGTTTTTTATTTTATGGCTAATAAACTCTACTTTTTATTCTAAATCCAATGACATATCATTCATATCAAGCTCATAATTCCAGGAATATTTATTAATTTCCACTAGTGGTCCCATTAACGGGCCTCCGCGATCTCCAGGCATTACACCGATGGATTCTGAAAAGTCAACTTCATTCTTAAGGAATCCTCAAAAGACAAAATCCATCTGTGTAATGACCGGAGATCGCGTAGGCCCATTCATGGGACCACTAGTGGAAATTATTATTCCTGGAATTATGAGCTAGATATGTCATTGAATTTAGAATAAAAAGCAGAGTTTATTGGGCATAAAATTAAAAAAATTCGACCATTCGAAATAACAGAGTTGATGATGTTCGCGAATAAACGAAAGGTCTAATCAAAAATCTAATAACATCATCATGTAGTGGAGAAAAAGTGACAATTGAAAATGTGGAGTTTATTTTGCGATATCGTTTTCTACGTCATAACTCGGAAATGCTCATTTATTGCTAGCACTCCCATCGAGCATCATCATGACTATTATATACTCGTCTCGTCTGGCAGATACTCGCAACCGCCAGAATAGGCTGGCTATTTACATATACTTTTTATCAATAAAAGAATATTCCCTCAAAATTTCAGCCTTGTGGAAGCAGGTAATAAATGATCCTATAATAACTTTGCTATGGTCACACTTGAGGGATTATGACGCAACCACGAGATGCCTGCCAGAACGTTATCTACTTTCTTGATTGACCAATAATAAAACATTTTTTAAAAAATTTCTAGCTTTGTGAGAAACGGGTTAGTCGGATGAACCGCTTGCTCTCCTACTACTAGTTATATCTTTCAATATTTTTTTTTTTTTGTGAATCTGATGTGAAAACTGATTTAGGGACAGAAAATATCGTCGTTAATTTGACAAAGGGACGTATATGAGAAATAAGCGATTTTTCGTTTTCAGGGAATTTATGTCGCAAAACATCAAAATTATACGCCCTCTAATTGGCGCATATGAACTGCCAGTAGTTTCTGAGTTATACACATTTTTCTTTTAGACGTATGTTTTGAAACAAGAAATATGTATCTTCCTAAAAGGCGTATATCATATACGCCTGTAATATTTTTTTTTTTAGAGATGACCTTGAAGCTGGCGTTGGCGTATATAGTAATACATACGCCTTTTTGCTGACGCGCACCAAAGCTGCTTTAAACTAAAATTTAGCTCATATCGGAAGACATTAGTCAGTCAATTTACTGCACTTGTTCGTGTTTTGGTTTGTGTTTTTATTGCTTTTCTAACAAACAAAGATGGATGTTCTAATTAAATGGACAGGCAGCACACAAAATATTGTGGATTCGCGACAGATAGTGGTTTTGGGCAAAAATAAAACTCTAAAAGAAGGCAGTTATGTGAAAATGTGGTAGGTATGAAAAAAAAATGGTATTGTGGATCTGTCATAGCTGTAGAGAAAAATGAGGACTATGATGATAAGTCAGCTACATTACTATATAGTGATTATTCTAGTGATGAGGAATCGAATTTGCCAATCAAACTATAAGAAAAAAATGATTTAAACAAGCCAGTAGTCGGCAATGAGGCTAAATCATAATTAGGTATAGTAGTAGAGAGTAGAGAAGCCCTAACGATAGGTATGCCTTAAACTGACATTTGTCCATGAAAAAATGTCATTTTAGGGAATACTTATCGTTATGTTTCCCCTAAAATAGTTGGTGGAAACGGCCATGAGTCAACCGTTTATTTATATTAAGTTTGATTCGTAAAGTTTATTCTTAGCAGCAAAACATGATACAATCAAAATTTTATTAATTTTAATATTATGCAATAAAAATGTATTCTAATTTAGGCAGATGTGTTTTTTAAAAATTCCAACCACTCTACCTTGTTGCCAATAAACTACAAACCATTAAGAGAGTAAAAAAAAATAGTTGCAAACCTGTACAAAGGGCAGTATATGACTTATTTTGGGAGGCGTATGTGAAACGTGCAAAAATAAAATTTTGCAAAGTGGCGTAAATGTATTTTTTTCAAAATTTTCAGACCAAAAATGAAAGTATTCTACTTTTATGAACAGTATTCCAAATACCACTTAATAGCCTGTAAGTACACCAAAAGACATTTTAATATCTATTTTGGTTTTTGACTCATAAGCTTTCAAATTTATTGAAAAAATCAAATGCTTGTCCTGAAAAATTAATAAATTCAATATACGCCCATTAGTGAAATTAACGACGATATGTGTGTTGCTCTCAATGGTTGCTCTATCACAAACCTACTTTTGATATTTTCACGCCGATACACTTTTATGCCAAAAAAGCTTTATACAATAAGACAAGAGCATCTTATATATCTAATCAAAGAATTGAATGTTGATGGTCTCAGGTAGAAATTGGTGGATCAATTATTTTAAATATCTGAGAGCCAGAGGACACAGGCCTCTGAAATGATGGTTATCTGCTTCATCCTAGAATGTTTAAGGTTTTGTAATGCTGTTTTTTTTTGTTAAATTTCACATCGCAAATGCAAATAAAAACAATAGAACCGAACACCTAATTTTTAGGTTACAATTTACAATTCAACAATTCTCAAGGATAACATCGACAACGTACTTCCAACGTAGTAAATCAGAAATTTCGAGTTGTGACGTAGTAAATCAGAAATTCCGAGTTGTGACGTCAGAACTATGAACTAAGAACTCGGAACACAGATTGCACGACCGGGCTTCCGTACTCGTAATCACGTGACCAGCGAGCGAACAGAGCACTTGAACGCTGTATCAGAGTACCAGAAATTTTAAACAAACGCGAATGAGCCTGCACCGAGTACACTTTTCAAATAAACGAACGGTAAATTCAAGCTCAGAAAACTCCGATCAAAATACCGAACGCACGGTATAGTCCGGACAATTCACTGTTGTCCCGACCAAGGTTTGTCTCTAGGCCAGCAGCGTGCAGTGGCAGTCAACGTTAACATAACCTCAGTTCAGTCTCACTGTTTGAAAATGTTTTTCTTCTTATAAATGCATATTTTTCAATTTTCATATTATAATGAATACCGAAAATAAAAGAATATTTATAAGTGATTTACCCGAAACTTCTACAAAAGACGAATTAGAAAATAGTTTCTCTAAATATGGTCATGTGTCTTCTGTGGAAATAAAAGAGAGGAAAGAATTGGGTCCACATAACAAGTCACTCTTTTTCGCTTACATTAACCTTCTTACAGATGATAAGACCCTTAATCAATGTAAGTGCAATAAAATACCAGTTTGATGATAATATAAAATGTGCAAATTGCAGGTTTCCGAGAGTTATCCAACATCAAATGGCATGGGCAATATGTCCAGTTACAAATAGCACGAGAAAGCTTTTTGGATCGTTTGAAACGTGAACGACAAGAAAAAGATGGAGCGGCAACACACAATAATGTTACACCCCAAAAACAGCAAGAAAGTTCACCCACCAAACAAATAGACAGTAGTTTTAAAATTACAAACAAGAGACAACCATTAACACCTTCAAAAAAATATGACTCTTCTTCAGATTCCGGATCAGATTCTGAAGAAAGTGATTCAGATAAAACGGAAACTAAACAACTAGCTGAAGATTCTTCAAAAGCTAAAATTGATGTACTAGAAGAAAAAATAGATATTATAGTCAAAAGCAATAAAAATAAAATACTTGATAAGAATAGTGGTTTAAAAATTCCATCAGTGGGCAATTCACCTATTATTGAAATTACAAAAACTAAAACGAAAGTTAGCAAAAATGATAGTGAAGCAAATAAGAAAAGATTACAATCATTGCAAGAAATGAAGAAAGGATATGCTGCTCAAAAATCATTCATAAAAAGTGGATTGACATTTGGGGTAAGTTTGTTTCTTCATAATTTGCTAATCTATTAAACTTGCCCTTTCAGGCTGCAAAACCAAACAAGAAAATTGTCTTTGGCGATGACATTACAGGATTGAATGGCAAAAGAAAAATTAATGGCCTCAATCAAAAAGCCCTTTTTGAAGATGATGATCAAGAAGATTCTGATTTTGAAGTTAATTTTGAAATTAAAGAGCAGTTTCAAGGCAAGAGTGGACAAAAGGTAACTGAAAAGACTTAGGGATTTCCTAACCTTTTTCTATTCTCTACTGCTCTATATAGTGTTGTAAGTCATTGGTTGTAACTCATGGAACGTTCCCGTTTATTCTCAAAGAACGATCGCGAACATTCAAGACCTAGTGGGAACGTTCCTTTTCAAAAGCAAGAATCAGCACGAACGAGAACGTTCCTTGATAAAAAATAAGCATATTAAATAACATTTATGTTCCAACACTGGGGTGTGGGGATCGAGAAAAATTTCCGCCAGTCGACAGCCGACCCAGGGTTTGGTTTCAGGGATATACACGCCAGTTTTTGTCGTCCCGTTTGCCAGTTTTTCAATTAGTATTCATTTTAAAGCGTGCAAATAGGTCTGTTCGCACAGAAATCGCAAGCCAGTCAGAGTGGATTTCATTGGTTGAAGACAGTCATCAGTCAGAAACAATCAGAAAACTAGTTTCAGCCAATGAAATCCACTCTGACTGGCTTGCGATTTCTGTGCGAACAGACCTATATTAGTATAGTGTTTACTTTTTATTGAGAATGTCTAGAAAAAAGTGTAAACTTTCCAGTTTTTTTGTGTTAAAATTGATGGCTTCCACAAGTTCGTCATCTCTTAGAAACATAGAAATACTTAATTTATAGATCTATCAAATATAAGCAGATATTCTTTAATTTTTTATTATTTTCCATTACTGTCTTTCTTTCATACTCATTATTGTCGTTCATTCTCGTTCGTGCTCGGATAATGTTCTCCTAAAATAAATTCTCGAGCATTTCACAACACTAACTCTATAGCAGCCTCACTATAGATAAATTACCTATATAAGGTAAAAGCACCAATAATTGACACAATTAGACTCTCTTATGGAATTTAAATGTATCTTTGTGGACCCAGTAATTGACACCTGTTATCCAATTATTGACACCCCAGTTATTGACACAAAAACTTTTTTTTTTCTTAGTACATGAGTTTATGAAATGCGTAGTAATAAGCCACAGCTACTAGAGCTTCATTCATTTGTTCTTTGGATTACTTTTTTCTGACGTCGTATCAGTAATAAATGAAATTCCAGTTACTGACACCCTGTGTATCAATAACTGACATCCATCTCAATAACTGGAACCAGTGATTTTTTTAAACTCATATTAAGATGTGAGCACAGTACGATGTGAGCGTCCTGCCAAATATTGAAATGTTTTGCTATGATTGCGTTAAATTTGTTACGAGATTCATTCATTGACACATCAGTCAATAATAGGAAAGTTCAACATTTTTTGTTATTCTTTTATTTAACCCGGCGTTGGGCAGGTGGGGTCTTACAGACCCCACTTCGATGTTAGCTGCCAGTATTTCCATTTTTTTGCTCTTGCCCGGCCACACGTCTCAGAACCCTCCACTTAGGTATTCCTCTAGCTGAGGCAAAGCGCAGTTTAGTTGTCATTGTGATTTCGGCCAGTCTGCACCCCTCCAAACTCGTTTGGAGTCTAATAAACCCCACTTGACCGCTGTCGTGACAACAAGCAATACTGGGAATGCTCCGCTACATAAGCACTTTTTTGGCGATATGAGGTGTAGTGGGTAGTGGTATAACAAACAGCTACAGATAATAGCTAGTATCTAGCCTGTCTAACTGATCGACGCCGACGGTCCTATGACAGAGTATTGGTGCAGTGCTGTTGAATTGCCTCTTTCAAATTTTTTTGTTGGCATTAATGTCACAATAAAAACCTATTTTGTTTTTCAATGAAAACCATTCAAACCCTGATATATCGTAGTTTCAATTCAATTTTAAACAAAAAATACCTTACAAGCGAAATTTGGCCCCAAAAACATGCAGATAGACATGGGGTCTATTGGACCCCACCTGACCTATCTTGTAACTTTTGGTCACCTGTCCGACGCCGGGTTAAACTGAAATCGAGAGATTTTATTATTAGAAAACGATAAAAAAAAAATTTGAGCGCAAAATATTAATATTTGCGTTTGTTGCGAGCAGTTAAAAATCAACGATCGGCGCTAAGATAAAAAACGTACCTCTACGCGAGACTAGGCTGCATGACGTCAGTAGCCAGGAACGCCACGTAAATTCATATACCCTCTGTATCGGCCTTTACGCAAACGCTGATTCGATTAACCCAATCATCACCTGATGTAATTTGTCTCTTTTCAATCGTGTTCATTGGAGAAAGATGGAAAACAGACAGCTTGTGATCGGATCAGCGTTTTCGTAGAGGTTCATACGGAAAGTATACGAATTCACATGGCGTGCCGGCTACTGACGTCACGCGGCCTAGTCTCGCGTACAGAGTCGTTTTTTATTCTGCGCCGATCGTTGATTTTTAACTGCTTGCAACAGACGCAAATATTAATATTTTGCGCTCAAATTTTTTTCAATCGTTTTTTGATAAGAAAATCTCTCGATTTCAGTTAAAATGAAAAACGCTGGGTCTAGCCTCCCGGCACCGGTATTCATACGAATCCCGGTTATGACGCGTTTTCGATGATTCCATCAACGACCGCCGGGATTTATCATGGATCCCAGCTATTGGATTCAAAATTCAAAGTAATGTTTCTCTTGCTGCTTGAAGCTGTGATTAATTCCGGAATAGCTTTTTTGTATTATTGTTTCTTGTTGTGATATTGGTATTAGAGTAATAAGTACTTCAATAATCCACTTTTCGTAGTAGTGGTTCAAAAAGGGAATAGTATGTAGTAGTAGTAGTAGTACACATGCTTTATTGTCCAAGAAACTCTAAATCTTATTGACAAAGCAAACTTAATTTAAAACACTTAAATCTATTCATTATTAAAATTACGAATAAAGTATCTAAAGTCCGTTTCACCAGGGTTCATACTTGACCTTGAAACTTGAAAAAAAAGGGTTGTCGTAGATTGATTCATATGACACATGCAATTTTTTTGACAAATTAAAATGAATGACTTTTGGTTAAGAACCGACAAACGTTTTTGACGTCATTGATTTATTTCAATCAATTTTTATTTGTTAAACAAGGAAGGTAAATGCTGGTGGCAAGTACAAACCCTGGCGAAACAAACTTTACATATAAAAACACTCAGAGTAAAAAAAAGCAAGAACAATAGAAAAACAAAAATATCTGGCAAGTGATATAGTATTTTTAATACCCATTTAGAATAACCCCATCCTTATTTATCAATCACGAATCAGATGAAACAAAAAATTACCAACAAAAACGAACGTCGATTGCTAATACGTCAATTTCATGTACAAATAGGAAATTCCTAACCTAATTTTATTTGTGTGTTCAAGAAGCGACATACGTTTTGTCACTAGAACGACTGGTATTTCTAAATAGGTATTAAAAATTCTATAGCTTCATATTTCTCAACAAATAGATAAAAAGCTATGATAAAAAAAGATTAGCAACTAATTTGGTTAATATGCACCCAACAAGGTCTTTCAATATTATCTATGGAGAACAATAAATAATTAGGAAAAAACAAATGAACAGTCTAAAATAGAAAAAAAAACAATATATATAAATAGTTTAAAATGAGAAACAGTACTTAGGTAATTAGTATAATATATTGGAAAGTTTTCGTAAACTCATACAGAAGGAAAACATTATCACACAATGAACAACAGAATATAACCAGGTGGGGTTCAATAGATAGCTTTTCAGTAGGTCCTTGTTTCACGGAAGGAGAAATTAAGAAATTCCTCAATAGAATAAAATGCTTGTGCAACCAAAATTTCCTTTAGTGCTTTTCGGAACTTGCCAAGATCCGACATGGACAATAGGCTATCAGGTAAGTGATTATAAATCTTTAGGCTGTTGTAAATAATTGTTTTTTGTACCAGTGTGGTATGAGGAGTAGGAAGAGGTATAGCATTTATGTTTGTTTGTCGTGTGGTTCGAGATCTCTGGGTAGTTGGAAACAGATGAAGATTTTTATGTATTAGACTAGCAGTTTCTAGAATGAACAGTGAGGGGAGAGTTAGGATTTTATGAAGTACAAATAGTGGTCTACAATGAGTTCTTATCGGGGCACATGTTATCGATCTTTTTTGCAGTCTAAAAACAGAGTCAAACAAGTATTGACTGCAACATCCCCAGAAAGGTAAGCCGTATGCAAGATGTGACTCAAACACTGCATGATAGACTGATTTTGCAGTTTGTGAACCTAAGTGGGTAGCTACGGCTCGGACACAATAACACCCTGAAGCGAGTTTTTTGCTTAGTGATAAGATATGTGATTGAAATTTTAGACTGACGTCGATCTGAAGTCCAAGAAATTTAGTACTTGTGGAAGATTTAATTAAGAACTGATCACATACAATATCATCCATATTACCGCGAAAACCCAGTACTTCAGACTTGTTAAAGTTGAAAAGAAGCCCATTTGCGTCACACCAGTGTTTAATTTTAACCAGATCTTGAGAAATTATCCGAACCAACTCTCGCGATTCCCCTCCATGCCACAAAATCGTTTCATCATCGGCAAATGCAGCAAATACTCCTGATATGTCTATTTGTAATAAGTCATTAATATAGAGCAAAAACAGGATCGGTCCTAAAACGGAACCCTGTGGTACTCCGTGGTCAATAACCTGGCTAGTGGAACATTCGCCGTTCACCCTGACACTCTGAGTGCGGTTGGTTAAGAAGGACTCGAACCAATTTAGGACCACTCCCCTGAAACCGTAAGCTTCCAGCTTTCGCAGCAGTGCTCTGTGACACACACAGTCAAAGGCCTTGGAAAAGTCACAGAACACCGCTGCAATAGCATAGCTATTATTGTAATGTCTGAAAAGTTGCTCCATTACTTTAAGCATTGCGTCATGTGTATTTCTTCTGGGAAGAAAGCCAAACTGAGCACTATTGAAGACATCATGGCACATCAGAAAATCCATCATGCGTTTTTTAACAAGTTTTTCAATAATTTTGGATATTGTTGACAATAATGAGATGGGCCGATAGTTTGCAGGATTTTTTGTGTCCCCATTTTTGTGAATTGGA